TGTACGCTAAGACCAAGCGTAAGTGAAAGAAAGGCTCTGCTAGCAGGATGTATGCACATACGCTTAGCTTTTATAGAGAGTAGTTCCACACCAGTCCTCATTATCGGGTCGAGGTCTGCGATAGCTTACTAGCCGTTTACCAGTTATTAAATATGAGATAGAGATAAAAGCACCTTGAATTAACATTATATCAGTTCAATAAGCAGTATTAAAACATTAAAATGTTTATTCACAAGTGCTTAGAAATTTCAACAAAATTCGCATAAAGATAAAAAACTACAGCATCTAGTACTTAAAACTTAGTTGATAATTTATCACTTGTCGCAAACCTGCCAAGTGTAATTTTCTAATACTTTTTTCTAAAAGCGTTAAAAGTTCAGGGATGAAGGTCGAAAGTTATGATGCGGTAAACCTCCCAGATTCGAGGCCATAGGTAATGACTGGCCCTTGGCAGTTTTTAAAATGTCATTCCCTCAGTTTCGATCGTATTCACTCTTTCTGAGAGCGATCAGATTTTTGAAAATTCCAAAAATATATATATTTCGAATGCCATGAAAGAGAAAATAAAATACTAGTAGTCAATCCCACGGAATAAGAAAACGTTTTTAAATTAGCAGCTCCACCACTGGATATTTAAGGCCTAATTTATATGGAGAAAATCTGTCACGGGTAGAAGGCTAGGCAACAGCGCTCGCGCATGCTCTGATTGCCTGGCCTTGACCGAGTTTACACAGCTGGGAGAGCGAAAGTATTTATACGGAGAAAAGTTGGCCTGGCTAGGAGGGTCACCCAGCTGGACGGTCACTCTTCTAGCTGAGCCGACTTTTTGTCTCTCATGTGAACGGTTCACCATCTTTTGTAAGGAACTGTATGAAAAGTTGACTCGCCCAGGGTTGCTTGAGTAGGGGAGTGTCCCCTCTGCCAAGGATAACTTTTCTCCATGTAAAAGGGACCTAAACTGAGACAACTCGCAAATCCTTGCTTTCCTTTGGTCAAAGCTTCCATGTCAGCTTGTGAAACTTGTCAAATCACCTCATCATCTCAGATGATAAGACCCTTTATTATATAAACACCAATGAAATAAAAGGTGAGCTTTCGCGCGAAAACTTGATATCTTCACATGTGAAAATAACATGTTATCTTCACATGTGAAAATATCACCGTTGCTATGGCTTATTAATAAATCGCGTTTTTCACACCAAAAAACTATTAAAGTGAAATGGTTTGGTAGTTCATTGGTGTTTATATAATAAATAGAACATTATATAGCCGCGCCGAGATACGAAATTTCTCTTCTCGTGTTGAAAAAATATTTCTCTCGTTCGCTGCGGTCACTCGTGAAATATTTTTCAACACTCGAAGAGAAATTTCGTATCTCCGCGCGGCCATGTAATATCCTCTATATCTTTCATTCTACCATGGACTGTACTTTCTTCAATTGCTCTACTGTTTTCTTCGTGGTCTCATGTTCTTCGCCTAAAACGTCTTTCTGGATTTTAATGGCCTTTTCAAGCTGCTCCATAGCTGACTTGAAATCTTTTTTAATGTAGAAGATGTCGCTAAGGTCAACATGGGATCGAGCGGTATCCTGATGTTCCCCTAGCAGCTTGATTCGCAATTCTAGAGCTTCTGTGCTGTACATTTCAGCTTGATCAGCTATTCCAGAATCTGCAGATTCAGATTCCGCAAGACACCTGTACGAACTGGCTATGTATCGCAGGATCGAGGCTGTCCAAGGGTGGTCACCAAGCTCATCTTTATAGACTGGTAAAGTTTCTCTTTTCCAGATGTCTATTGCTTGTTTATGGTCCCCGCACGCTCTATAGGTGTCTAAAACAAGTTTTAAAAAAAAGCTCGTTTAAGGCGTCGAAATGTATTTTAATTGGTGTTTAACACAAGTGCGTTCGAAAGACTTATCAGGCCCGGCCAGGGGGGGTAGTGGGATACCAATATACCTTCTATTTCGGCCCCAAGATACCAATATATCAACAAAATCGTAAAATGTGTGATACCAAATACCTAAAATTATTTTGAAACAGAATACTAAATACCTGAAAATGAACAAGTNCTTGATCAGCTATTCCAGAATCTGCAGATTCAGATTCCGCAAGACACCTGTACGAACTGGCTATGTATCGCAGGATCGAGGCTGTCCAAGGGTGGTCACCAAGCTCATCTTTATAGACTGGTAAAGTTTCTCTTTTCCAGATGTCTATTGCTTGTTTATGGTCCCCGCACGCTCTATAGGTGTCTAAAACAAGTTTTAAAAAAAAGCTCGTTTAAGGCGTCGAAATGTATTTTAATTGGTGTTTAACACAAGTGCGTTCGAAAGACTTATCAGGCCCGGCCAGGGGGGGTAGTGGGATACCAATATACCTTCTATTTCGGCCCCAAGATACCAATATATCAACAAAATCGTAAAATGTGTGATACCAAATACCTAAAATTATTTTGAAACAGAATACTAAATACCTGAAAATGAACAAGTCAGATCTTAATAAAAGAGAAACTCCTGGTTCACTTTCCTCTTCCGCTTCCTTTGCGGTCGGCCAGCGTCCATGGTGATCGAATCCTCGTCACCTTGTCCATCAACGCTCTCTGCAAAAGGTTCTTCATCAGCTTCATTGGGAGAGGGTGGTGTCAGTGGATCCGTTCACCAAGGCCAGGAGCAGATAATACTCCCCCTCATCTATTTCAACAGTTTCATTGTCAACAACTGTAATGCTGCTCACAACCCCTTTATGCCCTCTTTTGAGATGACATGCTCTTCTCCCGAAGTAGTGAATAGGAGAGGATCGACAACATCTTGGGTGTAACAGAGAGTTGTTACGTGACAAGCACTATCATAGTCATCAACCACATCCTCTAATAGTTTTGTAATATACAGTGGGCTGTTTGGAGCAGAACGCGGTTTGTATATTCGGGAAACTACAACATACGTAGACTGGGCGATGACAATGTTACGTGCTGTGCTGGTATCTTGGTGTTGAACGGGGATGTCTTCATTGAGAAGCACGTCAAAGTCAACTGAATGTTGCTCCGGGGGTGCAGACTCGTAGAGGTGCAATGGTAGGGTGCCTGGCTTGTCTTTTGTTGAAAAGTTCCTTGTGGTATCCTGCCCGACACTCTTACTGTATTGCTGTACCCACTGACAGATCTCATCCAGTTGCTTCTTGGATAAGCAACCAGACAAAGGCTTCGGTAATTTTGCAAGGTCACAGAAGTTTATATCAACATCACCTAAAGTAGGCTGAAGGTAGTACGAGGCCACTGGATTTGTAAAGTACCTGTAGCTCGTACCTGTGACACGTTTTAATAATTCGTTAATACATCAGGGAAAGCGCAAGCAAAAGTCGAGCATCATGGGAGTGTCCGTATTACCCCCTCTCATACTGGAAAAGAAGTTTTCAACAAAGAGAGTTAAAAGGCTTTCAATGTTTAAGTGTTGAATGAAGTCTGGATTGATCTGAGTTCCATCACCTTTGTCCTCAGTCTAGTGAGGCCTTCCAGTATCATCTTCACGAAGTTCAGTGTAGTAGAAGATAGTGTTCCGTCTTGTCCTTGGGTCTGGGAAGTTGAGCCCTTGATACCCTAAACTTTCAACGAGCCCTGTGTGCCCTGGGTACGAGATTGCGATTCGGGAGGTGGTGTGGGTGGAATTTGTGGGTGGTGTTGGTGGTGGGAGACTGGGATAGGAAGCCAAACAGTAACAATTTCGAGCATCCACACTATTTCTAGTGAGTATTAGAGCGATAATAAAACTGAGAAATGAATTACTGTACCATATACCGAATACCTAGAATTCAGGAAAAACTGAATACTTCATACCCGAATTTTGACCAAAAAATACCATATACCTGAATTGAAATAGCCCGGGATACCGTATACCCAAAACCCCTGGCCGGGCCTGACTTATAGTTTGGTCAGCTCCAAACTATACTTACATAAAAATGTTCCTACTTTAGGCATTTATGAGCGCACCGAAAAACGAGATGTTCACTGAATTGCCTAACTCGCCCAGTGTCTATGTATTTTACAAGTCGTCCGCACCTCGACAACTTCCATTTATAGACACAAAAGCTGGATAAATGGATACAGATTAATCACATTTTTGCAGCACACAGTAACATGACCGTTACTGATTATTTGAACTAACCCTAAATCATTGGCTCGAGCCAGAAAAAAAAGTGCCATCGTAATGACATGATGGTTTTATTAATACAAATTAAATTGGAAAGTTAAGTTTTCACAGAGAAAGTGAATGAATTAGGTACTCACTTCCAAGATCACAACAACCTGCTGAGACATACAGAGGCACTCCAAGCTCCTTCCTCAGATTAATACCCTTTTGTATTAGGTCGCGTCCTTGTTCTCCTTTGCCCTATAACAAGCAAAAAAACATTTTAACATACAGATATTTTGGATCTAAGGACTATTCTTTTTTGCTTAGAAAGCTGTTCAATACAACACAATACAATACTTTATTCAAGAAATAAAAACTAAAGTTACAAATATCTCTCGAAAGGGGATATCTAGAGGTCAACCCTATATAAAGGATTCCCCATAATAAATGATGAAAAGTTACAATCTAGAATCTAAAACATTATATACAGACAGAAAAATCGAAAACCTAAAAACTAGAATAAAAACATCATTTGCATATCATAATTAAAACTATTTGCAGTCGTATTAATTAATATTTAAAAAATCCTTAATCTGTTGCGAAATAAAGTCAGCGATCCTGCGCACAATTTATTGTTATTACTTTTTGGAATAAATAATAAATAAATAAAGCCTACCCGTGGAATGCCCCAAGGCCAGTATTTCAATCGGGCATTTACTTTTAATATGCTACGACATGCTTATCATGGCCTGTTTTTCTCTTCGGATGTCTTATGATGAACTGTTACAAAGTGGCAGCATCGAGATTTAATTTTGGTTTAAGGGGCTGTGTCACAGCAGTCCAGTTCATTTTGTTTAATTTTGCCAATTACTCGCCCTCAATCGCTACGGAACTTAAAGCAAGCAAGGAAATTACATGGAAATGACAAAATCAGAGATTCGAGACAAACAAATATGTCTCCAGAGCATTATTTTTGAAGTTGCAAACAGTAGAGATCAACTTTGAAAAACTGTTAGGCTGAACAGTCCTCAAAAATCCTCATTTCAATCCGTTTCAATCTTCCTCAGTTTTTACCATTCGTGGCATCTGTTGTATCTCTTGTGTTATTTTAACCTTCCTTTAATGTTTTAAGCGGTTATTTTCACGTTTCTCTTAATTTAACGGGCATTTTGTAATTACCTAATTTGGCTGAATTTCGTGACACAGCTCCTTTAAAACTACAAAGTATCCGAAAAGGTGCGGGTACTTCGAAGAAACCCCCTCAAGGCCCCTTTTGTATTGTCCCATTGGCATCAAAATATTTTTTTCTCTTGTACGTCATGTAATGGAAGTAATATTATTTTAAACTTTTACGGCACTTAAAAAAGAGAACTTAATTATATTCGTATTTTTACCAGAAGTGCGTAACACAGCCCAAGTTTGGAGATGGTGTGTGCATGCGTCTCACAGTGCTGTTGTTCCTTTGGCAAATTCTGCCGGATTTCATAGGCCCGCTGAAACTTCTCAAGAGTATCTTGGCTGACCCCTCGGTGAGCTTCTTTGTAGAGGCCAAGAAATCCCAAGGAAGTTAGACAATCCGCAAGTCTTCTCATGTCATTAGATGCTTTGGCAATGTGGTAGCAGTCTTCATACAGTTTTACACACTTAAACGGTGGAGATAAGACTTTGGCCAAGAAATCTAAAACCATGGTGGAGTTAGCGACATCTATGCAAAACTCGGTGTCTTCCTGGTCAATTTCGGAGTGCAGGAAATTTTTGAACATTTCCAGGATGTTTGCTTTTTCTGCCCGAAAGGTTGAAATAGCTTCTTTCGACTTCTGCTTGGTGATGAATTGTTTACTTAAGGATTCGAGCAGTGCCACATAATGCTGATTAAACTTTTTCTGTGCTTCTTTACCAACATCATCCATGTTGAGAAGTTTCCTCTCAGCTTTGAGGAACTCGCGGACCAAAGGATGCAAAACCACCTTTGTATCGTTTATCCTTCGAAGAAGAGAGTACCCCACCATCTTGGCCTTAACATCCTCTGGCTCTGATAGGTCACCAAAGAGAACCGTCATGTCTTCGACGGAAAACGCCAATGGAAAAATTGAAAGGCGAACAAGGTCTGCTTTTATGGTTTTTGGAAGATAGAGTAGGAATGTACACAATTCATTGTAAGCTTTTTTTGCATTGATCTTCAGAAGTTGGATGGGACTTATTTTGAGACGTCTGACCAACGTTTCCGCTCTGAAGCCGTTTCTCATTAAGCATACAAATTGGATAAGAACCAGCGGTATCCCACAAAGCTCGCCGAGTTCCTTAATGTGCAGTTCATTTTGGTCTGGAACTGAGTCCTGAAGTAATTTGGCAGAAGAACCGGGGTCCAGACGGTCTAGAAGCACCTTATGTACGCTCAGAGAATGAAAATCCACATCCATTCGAGTGGTGATGATCAGCTGAACACGAGGTGCGTGTCTTCCTACATATTCTAAAAAGTCTTCGAATTGCTCTCCTTGTTGTTGTTGTATACCTTCTACATTGTCTAATACAATAACTTTCTTCTCATCAAGCTCTTTAAGTCGCCTTTTCGCTATCGATACCATATCATGACTCTCTGAGAGTCTCGGAGCCAGAGGATTAATTTTACGGAGGATTTCGCTGCAGACTTCTGAGAGCTTTTGTTTTTGTTCAATGAATATAACAGACTTTTCGTGTTTCTCTTGAAGTAAGTGACTGACGTGAATGGCAACTTCCGTCTTACCCATCCCAGGGATGCCAACAATAATGATGATGCGTGAAGGATTCGGGTCCTGGGTAAGTTTTTGAACAATTTCTTGCACCTCTGCTTCTCTGCCTGTAAAATGTGATTCTTTATGAGGAAGTGTTGTGTCGGCGCTATAAGATCCTAAAGAAAAACTGTATTTCAGTGTTACATTTGCAAAATGTAGACGGAAGACTGCAGTCTAACCACAGACTGCGGACTCGGAATGCAAACTGCACACCGGGGTTATAGCCTATAACATCATTCTATCTTAATGATATGCATGACGTCATTGGCGTTAATTTATGCCACTAAAAAAGTTCATTAAATCCATAAAAATCCGGAGTAACTGGTCCCTACCCCAATACTCATGTACACGGATGCGTTTACTCTCTTCAAACGCAGCCTAGGCGCTTAACGTGGTTAGCCGAGGCGACTTTCCTCCAGGTTAAGACCCCTCGGGGTAAAGACCGTCTCAAAGAGGTATCAAAACTGATAATCTTCAGACCCACGCCAAACGAACTTCACGCCGGAAAAGGTCCCTTAGCTTCTCTGTAACTGTGAAACGAAAGAGACGTTGTCCACGAAAAACCAGCAATTAGGTGAACAAAACTCTTTGTACGATCGACAAGCAAGATACATTGACCATTTTAAAAACCTCAGTTAACTATAAAGAGTCTCTCATAACGAATTTATAAACTACAACTGGTGCAATATGTTGTTTCAGACTTTCAGGTTTCTTGTTCTGTGATCAACACGCATGTTGCAAAACAAATCCAAAGATTGTCCGGAAACAGGACGAGAAACTACCGGTAGATACTCTTCCCGGAAAACGTCAATAAAAGACATATAAAATTACCGGCACGACGCAGACGTATTTACAAGAAAACAATCAGGGCTAAGAAATAACCGAACTTTAGAATACCTTGCCAGCTTATCCTGCTAGCAGTGTTTTCTTTTCAGCATGGTTTTAACGTTTACGAAGTTGTTCGGACCGAAGCAGGGTACGCTAGCTTGGAGGGATGTTGATGAGTCAAGTCCTCCAATGGTCCAGCGGTGGTCGTGTGCCTGTTTACGCCTTTACTTTCCTTCTACTTAACAAAAAAAAAAATGAACAGTTGCATTGAAAACGTGAAACAGGCGTTAGAAAAAGAAGCTGTATGAACCTTTAATAGACCTTTTTGTTTTCCCAGTGTAGGTCACTGGTGCTCTAAAAGGAAATTGCCCTTCGCCTTCGACTTGTCATAAATTATGCGTACAATTCACACGAATAAGAGGAAATTAAAAAGAAACAGTTCTCGAAAGATATATGTCATGCTTGAGATACTTGTGTTGGGAGAACACAGGTGTTATTGAGGTAGTATTAAGCCCGGATGAACCATCGACAGTCCTTTTGTCGAAGAAGAATTATCGGAGTTTATATTATAAGTGAATGAGTGAAGCGACTTAATCTGTAGTCCCACGGTCCTCTACTCAAAAAATTATTAACTTAGGGTTTGAAAAACGACTACTTCCGCAGTCCCAAAGGCCCGTTTGTAGTCCTCGACAGTGAGTTCCGTACTCAAAAAAAGTACCTCAGAGTGGCCGCGACACCGCGAAGAAGGTTGACTATGCTGACTATGCATGGATGAGCGTACACAGTTTCGCTTTCATTTCCGCTTCGGTGCGTTTAGTGGTCATGGCGCTCACAGAGTTGGGGACTGAGGGATAAGTTTTTGAATTGAGTTTGCAGTGATCAAGTATTCTAACTGAAAAAAACAGGCGAGGGTTACAATAGAACGAGCATTACAACATAAAATAAGGTAAAGGAACTCCACATTCAAGTCATTTCATGACCACACCACCTCGAGCAACGAACGTCGTTTCAAAGTAAATAATAATTTACTCGTCTTACCTTGCTCCATGACTTCCCCAGCAAGCTTAACGAGACCTACTCTTTCCAGCAGAGTTACTAAATACATCACTTCTCCCGGTCTGATTTTATCGCTTCTTTTAAGGATGTTTAAGAGCTCCGTTGGGTTTGTGATTTGTTCAAGTTTTCCTCTCGGTAAATCGCATAGAAATTTCATCTCCGCCAATTCGTCGCTTTTTATTTCATTGGCTATTTGGAGTAAGAAGTAATTGAAATCTGCCATCAAGTACCCACTTCTCACAGCAGCAGACGCCATACTCAGTGATTCAACAGAGACTGAACGCGATCCTTAATATAAATAAAAAGCCACGTTGTCTCCGACCACGATCTGGGGCTTCGTTTGCTTCGTCACGCGTTCTCTTCCCTAAAATTTCTGCGAGGCAATCAGATTGACATTACTTGGGCATGACCTTTGATTTCGCTCTTGTTGACTTAGAAGAATCTTTCGCGGGTCAGTTTCAGTTCGCGGAAAGATGACCAAGTTTTTTTACATTTTGCTGGAAAAAAATCGCGAATTTAGATCTCAAACTTAAGCGCAAGTTAGCATTTTTTTCATGTCAGATGTAAAAACCAGTAAGTTATCGCCACTTCTTTTTTCACGGATCATTGGCAACAGCAAAAATGTTGAAAATTGCCTGTCACACACAGTACTCTGAATCGCTAGTCTACGGTTTAGTCTAGTAACCTTCACTTTATCGACCTTACATGTACATCAGTCATTCTAGGTACACCTCCCCTGCATGGCAGGTGTTTTAAGTGGAAATCAAGCGCTCTTGGATCTCTTTTTAGATCTTTTTAAATCCGGTTACGAACGCCTGACACGCTGGCTAACCTGCCTCTAGCATGCGAGACAGGCTTTCGAAAGGGAAGAGAAAGCGGATCGCGCTACTATGGGATCACGCGCTCCCCACCCCACTTGCCTACTTGTGAACATAGGGTAGCGGTAGCTCCGTTACAAAAGCAATACTAGCCTGGGACCAGGCTCCGTAGTGGCGGGAAATTAAGGCGGGAAAAGGCGAAAAAATCCCCTCTCCAGTCCACCGCTCGACTCTCTTCGCCGGCCGATTCTTTTTTCGCTGTTTCACTTCCTTTCTTACCTTTTTCCTGGTCCCAGACTATTAAAAGCAACAAGAAAAACAGGGTCGCCTAATCTTAAGTTACCCACTGTTTCCCTTAGCCTTGCATTGCCAATCAAACGAATTAAACCTTGGATTAACGACCAAAAGGATTAACATAATAAATAAGTAACAGCGGTAGTGAGTAACAAAAGAACAAAAACAAGAACCTTTTGTTTGGCACAGCAGTTGGTCTTCATTAACTGATTACATGTTTGAAAGACTTACTTGATCGCAATACAAAACACCACTTTCATAGTCGATTTTGTTTTCAGAAGATACTAGACGATGTTTAGTTCTTTCCTGATCATCTATATTCTCTATAGTTTGTAACGCATTTTGAATCGGAATTATTCATTTGTGTCGACAGGAATTCATCGAGATTGGATGCATTATTTTACTACAGACCGTGTCTCTCGCGAGGTCTCTCGGCCTAGCGAAAAATGACCACACGTGGCTCGCTTTTCGCTGCGTAAGGACCGTAAGCTGAATATACACGTATAATTTGTTGGAAAATATGTCATCTCTTGGGTAAGTTTATTCCTTAGATATCTTCAGTTATTGATCATTTCCAAAAGGTCAATTGCTTTGTTAGTAAGTGTAAATGATCCAGATACACTGAACAATGCTAATAGTGATTACAGTGTTGAAACACTTCTACGAACAGCGCAAGAACGGATGAACAGATGAACGGATGTCGACGCTGTTAACTTTTCTTACAAGTTGAAATTGATACGCAATAAGAGCATATCGGTATCAAGGAGTGTGAGACATGGGCTGTTTATTGTCTCAGCTTCGAAAAACCGTTTTGGGGTGGTCTTCTTTGCACACAGCAGAATTCATGATCATTGCTATAAAAGTCATTTTATCTGTTTGCTTTTATTTAAACTTCTGGCAAAATCGAATCGAATCGCCAAATCTGTTTTCATCTTTCAAATTGGTGTTTTTATTACTTGCAACATTTTTACACCCCAGTGTTAACCCTGGAGTGCAAGTAATTTAGGCTTTCCCGGCAAGGGTGGGGTGGGTGGTTGCCACGGTACAATACTATTTTTAACTTGCCCGGGGTTTCTCTTAAACCAGGCCGGCAGCCTGTACAACCGGCGTTTTTGCAGGGTGTTTAGGCGGGTTTTGATGGGCGAGCGCTCCAAAACCCGCCTTCTTGCCAGTTGCGTCCGTTGTGCAGGCTACCGTGGGTGCTCTGGAATTTTGTCGCCTTTAAGCATTTACTTCTGGGGAAAACAAGAGTAACATAAAAGAGTGGCCCTGGGAACAGGTTTTTCAGTTATTATTATTATTTTTTTGCACTGGACTACAGACGAAGAACGAGTAGTGTATTATCCTTCTTTTTTTACCAAAATTCCTAGCATGTATACAGATGCCCCCTCCCCTGAAAAAAAGATTTTTTTACCGTAGGGGGCTTCTGTACACAGGCAACGGAAGTCCAACCTGAACCGTAATTTTCTACAACCATTTACTTCCCCTTCTTTCCAGAGGCTTTATTTGAAAGGCATATCGGATACCAAGGCCAAAGACCGGTGAACAACAAGTGCAGCCATGTGCACTGAATTAGTTTTAGAAAATTTCTTACAACACAGTCAATGGTTGCGCGTATTTTGCTCACCCTTTCTCTGAGGTAAATAAGGGATCACTCGAAGTCTAGTCGCGAACGAACGCTTATGCAAATGCAGAAACAGCCGTGTATTCGCCATTTGCACATACAGCTCGTTTGCCCCTCAACCCCCCCCCCCCCTCCCCCCCCCCCCAATTTTTCAAAACCTTTCCCTCCCATTTTCCCCGGACCTTCCAGCCCACCCACAGCAAACAAAAACAAAGCCGAAGCAAAAATTTTGGGGGGCGGGGGGGGGGTATTAGCTTGGGAGGGGAGCAAATGGCGAATCAACTAGCTTGGAGGGATGTTGATGAGTCAAGTCCTCCAATGGTCCAGCGGTGGTCGTGTGCCTGTTTACGCCTTTACTTTCCTTCTACTTAACAAAAAAAAAAATGAACAGTTGCATTGAAAACGTGAAACAGGCGTTAGAAAAAGAAGCTGTATGAACCTTTAATAGACCTTTTTGTTTTCCCAGTGTAGGTCACTGGTGCTCTAAAAGGAAATTGCCCTTCGCCTTCGACTTGTCATAAATTATGCGTACAATTCACACGAATAAGAGGAAATTAAAAAGAAACAGTTCTCGAAAGATATATGTCATGCTTGAGATACTTGTGTTGGGAGAACACAGGTGTTATTGAGGTAGTATTAAGCCCGGATGAACCATCGACAGTCCTTTTGTCGAAGAAGAATTATCGGAGTTTATATTATAAGTGAATGAGTGAAGCGACTTAATCTGTAGTCCCACGGTCCTCTACTCAAAAAATTATTAACTTAGGGTTTGAAAAACGACTACTTCCGCAGTCCCAAAGGCCCGTTTGTAGTCCTCGACAGTGAGTTCCGTACTCAAAAAAAGTACCTCAGAGTGGCCGCGACACCGCGAAGAAGGTTGACTATGCTGACTATGCATGGATGAGCGTACACAGTTTCGCTTTCATTTCCGCTTCGGTGCGTTTAGTGGTCATGGCGCTCACAGAGTTGGGGACTGAGGGATAAGTTTTTGAATTGAGTTTGCAGTGATCAAGTATTCTAACTGAAAAAAACAGGCGAGGGTTACAATAGAACGAGCATTACAACATAAAATAAGGTAAAGGAACTCCACATTCAAGTCATTTCATGACCACACCACCTCGAGCAACGAACGTCGTTTCAAAGTAAATAATAATTTACTCGTCTTACCTTGCTCCATGACTTCCCCAGCAAGCTTAACGAGACCTACTCTTTCCAGCAGAGTTACTAAATACATCACTTCTCCCGGTCTGATTTTATCGCTTCTTTTAAGGATGTTTAAGAGCTCCGTTGGGTTTGTGATTTGTTCAAGTTTTCCTCTCGGTAAATCGCATAGAAATTTCATCTCCGCCAATTCGTCGCTTTTTATTTCATTGGCTATTTGGAGTAAGAAGTAATTGAAATCTGCCATCAAGTACCCACTTCTCACAGCAGCAGACGCCATACTCAGTGATTCAACAGAGACTGAACGCGATCCTTAATATAAATAAAAAGCCACGTTGTCTCCGACCACGATCTGGGGCTTCGTTTGCTTCGTCACGCGTTCTCTTCCCTAAAATTTCTGCGAGGCAATCAGATTGACATTACTTGGGCATGACCTTTGATTTCGCTCTTGTTGACTTAGAAGAATCTTTCGCGGGTCAGTTTCAGTTCGCGGAAAGATGACCAAGTTTTTTTACATTTTGCTGGAAAAAAATCGCGAATTTAGATCTCAAACTTAAGCGCAAGTTAGCATTTTTTTCATGTCAGATGTAAAAACCAGTAAGTTATCGCCACTTCTTTTTTCACGGATCATTGGCAACAGCAAAAATGTTGAAAATTGCCTGTCACACACAGTACTCTGAATCGCTAGTCTACGGTTTAGTCTAGTAACCTTCACTTTATCGACCTTACATGTACATCAGTCATTCTAGGTACACCTCCCCTGCATGGCAGGTGTTTTAAGTGGAAATCAAGCGCTCTTGGATCTCTTTTTAGATCTTTTTAAATCCGGTTACGAACGCCTGACACGCTGGCTAACCTGCCTCTAGCATGCGAGACAGGCTTTCGAAAGGGAAGAGAAAGCGGATCGCGCTACTATGGGATCACGCGCTCCCCACCCCACTTGCCTACTTGTGAACATAGGGTAGCGGTAGCTCCGTTACAAAAGCAATACTAGCCTGGGACCAGGCTCCGTAGTGGCGGGAAATTAAGGCGGGAAAAGGCGAAAAAATCCCCTCTCCAGTCCACCGCTCGACTCTCTTCGCCGGCCGATTCTTTTTTCGCTGTTTCACTTCCTTTCTTACCTTTTTCCTGGTCCCAGACTATTAAAAGCAACAAGAAAAACAGGGTCGCCTAATCTTAAGTTACCCACTGTTTCCCTTAGCCTTGCATTGCCAATCAAACGAATTAAACCTTGGATTAACGACCAAAAGGATTAACATAATAAATAAGTAACAGCGGTAGTGAGTAACAAAAGAACAAAAACAAGAACCTTTTGTTTGGCACAGCAGTTGGTCTTCATTAACTGATTACATGTTTGAA